ACAACAAGATCTTAAAAGGGCAGTGAGTTAGTCATTCTAATTCACAACACTGGTAAGCTACAAATCGGATTTTGACTTAAATCCAATCTCCGCAATGAGGGTATGCTATCAAATTCCCTTGGAAAAGCATCATCAGAAAGATTGCAGTTTATAAGACTTAAAACAACTAAAGTGTGGGGTAAAGTGGGTAGTTGACCTATTGGAATATCATCTGCTTTAAACACTTTTAGAGATTCCATTTCCCCCATCTCCATTGGGAACTCATTAAGACTGGAGCAACCAGATAAAATGAGAGTTCAAGTGATTTTAGCATAGAAATTCTCTTTGGAAGCTTCCTAATATTTTTGAAAATTTTCATATTCAGGTGCACAAGTTTCTCTAGGTTTCCAATGGATTCATGGACATCAACCAAGCTTACACAATCTTCAAGAATCAACCTCTCAAGATTGGGGACCAATGAGAAGTCACCAGTTTCAGTGAGGATACAGGAACCACTGAGATCAAGAATCTTTAATGATGGAAGAAATAGAAAACAATGCAAGAAGGCAGGGCGTGAATTTTTACACATCTATAACCATCATCAAAATCCCTAAAAACACAAAAAGAAAAGTGTGGAGTAGCATGCATTCCTTTGTTCCCTTCCATATTTTTCTTAAGCTACTGTCGTGCATTTCAAGAACAACCAGGCTCTCCAAACGAAATCAGAGGGTATAGAGTCTAAGGGGAACTCAAGCCAATACAACCATCTCAATCCTTTAGGAAATTCTTCATAACCTCCATTGAGTTGTACATAACTCAGCTGGAGTAATCTTAGTTTCACCATCCTTGTAAATGCATTGGTTTCGAAGACTACCTTATTTGTATTTCCTGAAGGAGTTTCTACATGGTACATATGCAGGGCAAGACCTTCAATTTTTTTTGAACCCTATGAAAAAAAACCATTTAGATATGAACTAACAATTCACTCTAGAACAGAAAAAGCATGCACATATGTATACGTAAAAGGAGCATGTTGCTTACATTCTTTTCTCTCAATACATTGAGAGAATCCTTACGATACCGTAATCTGCTGCATTTTTCAGGCTCCTTTGATTCAAGGCGAACAATTTCTCTTCCCATATCACGAATCATTTGATGCATCTTCAACTTATTATCTCCATCTTTAGCTACCAGACATATATCAATGAGATTTTGAATGCCTACAGTCGTATGGAAATCACATCCATCCAATATTTTCATAGTGACATCCTCGTCCTTTCCGATGAAGAAACATGCAACATGGAGAAATAAGTCCTGGTCATGGTTGTCTTGTAAAGAGTCGTAGCTTATTTTGAGCTTATTCATGATGTCACCGTTTGAAATAACTTCCAATTTCTTTAATGCACTTTCCCATACAGCTATACTTGCCCTGATAGTGAAGAACCCAAAGTTTTAAGAGCTAATGGAAGTCCTCCACTCTGGCTTAC